AAAAAAAAAAGATTTAAACCTTTGGCTTGCCCTTTGACCTAGTGATTTCATTTCTAAATATCCCACAGAAGTCCTCACCCCATACAAAGAAGCACGTTCAAGAATTTGTATGAGCAACCTACCGGAAACCACGGAGCAACTAGAGATGAGGTAGGCCACAAGAAGTCTCTCTGCTCGCTACAGGGCTCTCTCCAAGCTACAGTGTTAAACACAAAAAACAAGGAGCAAAATGTGTTTTATGAATGCAGGTCATTTATAGTAGGCAGTCAACAGGTAAATGTTGAATGACTGAGTAGGATCTTTCTGGAAGGACCCATAAAAACTTGGAAGCAGTGGTTGTGTCTATGGGCAGATTTGAATGAGGGAAAAATTTTCTTTTACCATGTCATACTATTTGCATTTTAGCCATATTCAAATATTATCTACTCAACTAAGTTTTTGATATTTAAAAATATAAGAATTCCAAGTGCTCACATCAAAATCTGGATGTGAGGCTATTCTTGAAATAATGGGAAGAAGGTCTGGCCACACTAGGTTGTGTCCCATAGATGACAATGAGCAGAGCAGAGACATAGAGGATCCCAGGGCACCCACTGCCCTCCCTGACCTGGTCCCTGCAGAACCCTGTGCTGCTAACCCCAAGTCTATGAGGCACAGGGATTAGCTTGCTAGGTCTGCAGGGTGGGTGGTGGGGCTAAGAAGCCATCCCGAAAGAGAAGGGTCGTTATTTGGTCATCACTCCTGTGCGGATTTCACCCCAACGATTCCAAAGGCCACAGCAGGGCCACAGCAATTTTAGGGTTGGTGAATGTTGGCATGTCACAAGCCTGCTAGTCTTGCACAAGAACCTGTTAACTCAGTACCAGCCGGGCCCCAACAGTGCCTCCGGTCTCACCTCCCCCACCAGGGCTTGAGGGCTTTCATTCAACCCAAAGGGGATCCTGGAGAGAGGGAGCCACCTCGACCCAAGGTTCTTGGCAAGGAGGAGGGTGACAGGGCAAGGACACGTTGGGAAGGCAGATCTGGCTCAAATACTGCCTTGAGCTCTGAAACTTTGGACAAGTTACTTTGCCGAGGCTCAGTTCCTTCATCCGTAGCCACCAGCTAATACTAACTGCATGCTGTTTCCAGGTGCTGTTCCCTCCCGCCACAAGCACGGAGGCAGTGGCTCAGCGAGACCTCGTGTCAACCGTGTGTGTTTATCACCAGGTTTATCAGTCAGGTTTCTCCAGAGAGACAGAACCAGTAAGACAGATATAGGTATATGAAGAGAGAAATTGATTTTAAGGAATTGGCTCAGATGACTGGAGGCTGGCAAATCTGAAATTTGTAGGGCAGTCTAGCAACCTGGAAACTCAGGATTCCGATGTTACAGCCTGCAGCAAAAGACCTTCTCCACAAAACCTTGGTTTTTGCTCTTTAAGGCCTTCAGCTGATTGTATGAGGGCCACTTACATTATCAAGGATAATTTCTCTTAAAGTCATCTGACTGTTGATGTTAATCACATGTACAAAATACCTTCACAGCAGCATCTGGACTGGTGTTTAACCAAACAATGGGCACCATGGCCTAGTCAAATGGACACATAGTTCAACCATCACAGAAAGTACCACTCCCTCTTCGTGCATGCAGAAATGGAAGCTGAGAGAGGCTGTGCTGTCTGCCAAAGGCCAGGGGGCACACAGAGACGGAGCTGGGAGCTGAACACAAGCAGGATCCTGCCTCCACTCTCTAAGAATGGGTTGCGTATCTCCACTTTGTAGGGCACATTCGGGAATTGGGTGCAGAGACACGCACAAGTGCCAGGCCTGTGCCTATGGCAGAGGCAGAATTCAGGAAGGCATGGGATGTTCTTAGGGATTGCTGTTAGCACTGGAGAAGGCTGGAGTGTCCAGGAGGCCTGGGAGAGGAGGAGACAGAAAGGAGGCGAGTTCTGGAGTACAGGACAGAAAACCTGTAGAGCCAGGGCCCCCTCTTCTCTTTCCAGGAGCCCCAAAGAGAGAGGAAGGCAGAAGGGGGTCTATGCCAGGCTGTGAGTCCTACTGCTAAGCATCTGGGCCCAGAGCTGTTAACCCAGGTGCAGGGGATAGAGAAGGAATACAGTGTCTACCAGTGTGTGGGTTCTGGAAGGAGTCTTCCCTCCTGAGGCCATGACTGGCTGCCCAGAGGTCCCTCAAAGTAAGTGACTCCCACTAAGAGTCAGGCTGGTTGGCTCCTTGGCTGGGAACTCCCATCTGCCTACCCAAACTAGGCCGATTTCCCGGAAGTAGAGAGAAGCTTCCACTCAGACCTTGACCCCCAACACAGTCCCAGTCTTATTCCTCCCAGCTTCCTCATCCTCCTCAGGGTGGAATGCTAGACCAGAAGGCACAAGGCCAACAGGTAAGCCACACTCTCCACTTGCTGGTTGTGTGAATTTGGGCAAGCTACTTAACCATTCTGAGCTTCTGCCCTATGGATGGGTCTCCTCATTCCACTTACCTGTAGGGTTGCTCCGAGGGGACCTGAAATTGTGCACATAATCACAGCGCAAGGCCTAAACATTGAGGAGAGCTGTTCTTGTTGCCATACCCATTCGCTGTAGTATTATAATCCCTCCCTGGCCTTCTCCTAGTTACCCTTGTCCAGTACCACTTCTCTGAGCCTCCCTCACTCTTTCCCTATTCCTCCTCCTTTGCTTCAGCTCCTCAATGTCTGGCAGAAGGGGTGCTGGGCAGGCCTTCAAATGCTCCTGGGCCAGAGAGATTTAAGGGCCTTACCTTGGTTGATAATCACATTGTTGATAACAGTGGGACTCTGGCCCACTGTTGGGACTCCAACCTCCTCCAATCTCCATCACACACCCCCTTCTCCCTCTGAGCCGCAGCCTCCTTGGCCTCCTGATGTCCCTCCTCCATACCAGCCTCCTCCAGCCTTCACTGGGGGCCCCCTCAGCCTAGCTGACCTGTCCACGGCAGCATCTCCTCAACGCCAGGATCCAGCTCTGATGTGGGTCTCCCTCCCTGCCATTCTCTGTCCCCACGCCCTTGACCACACTGGTCACAGTCTCAAAATAGGTACTTTCCTGCCGTCTCTCTCCAGCATCCCAGGAGGGCAGGGAACAAGGCTCCTCCATCCTGTGAATACTATACAGGCCAGAGGGGCAGGGGCTTAGCCTACTCCATCCCATCACCACCCATCACTTCACAGGCCCTGCCCTGGTCCGATCTGTATGCAGGGGCTGTGGGTGGGGCCTGAATGAGGACAAGCACTAGGGAACTCATCTCTTAGTCCCTTCCAGAAAGCCCTCACAACCAGCCTGATCTTTCCCCTAACCCCTTGCCTCAGACTGTCCTCCAGAGGCTGTGAGGGCAGAAAAGCCCAATGTGTGGCTTAGAAAGCAAGACACTTGGGTCCCCTTGCGGACCAAACCTCACTTGCTATGTGGCCTTGAGTGAGACCTCTCCCCTCTCAGGATCTTAGTCACCCTGGCTCTAAAATGGGTTAGGGCTACAGACACATACTCAGATGCCTACAAAGCCAGAAATATGTTATTGCTGGGACATTACATGTCGTAAGGATCGGGGACCCACTGACGGGAGGGCTGGTAGAGAACTGGGGAGAACAAATTATGCCTGGGCCAGCTCAGGGGCTCCAGGCATGCTGATCCCTCAAGGAAAGTTGGGAATATTTCAGTGTAACAATACCTTGATTATTAAATGTTGGTAACTAATCCACATTTTTAAAAAGCACTGTCTGGGTCAAAGAGAACATATCTGGAACACAGTTTGTGGGTTCTATCCTAGAGGGCTAGGCTCAGGGGTCCTCCAAGGCTTTTTGGGAGAATAGTGTTTGCTCTTTGGGGGTAGGGGATACTATTCCCTACGTGCAATCCACCCCCCCCAACACACCTCCTGGAGCATTTGATGGCTTTGCCCCAATCCAGCCCCTTTCTCCTCTAGCCAATCAGAACCCACCCCTTGCTCCAAAGCTGGCTTTACAAACCCAGGCCCAGGCCTGTCTTCTGGGTGGGCCAGAGCCTAAGAAGACTCCAAAGGAAGGGCCAGCACAAGGCAGGTGTTGGGGACCCTCCCACCCTGCCCAACCCTTAGAGTCCATCTCCTATGCTAATTATTGGACCCTATTACTGTTAACCCTGGAGATCACATTTCCAACTCTGTAGGGCAGAGCTGAACTGTTTCCAGAGTCTCTAACCATTCTGTAAGGCTGATCTCCCCCTTATTGCCAGCCAGCCAGACAGACAGACACTAACATCCCAAGGAGCATGGCTGGCTCACAACCAAGGGCACACCAAGCATCAGAAGAACAGGCTAGAGGTTTTATTTATCTTCAAAACTGTCCCATGTCCATCTGGATCTCCTGGGGCTGGGGAATTGGAGGGATTTCTTGCCTGGCTGATAGATGTTGAAAATGAGGCTCAGAGGAAAGCAGTAAGCTTGTCCAAGGTCCCTTGCTGGCTCCTTCACTCTGACAGAGAGGCACTACTTCAAGAAGTTTCTGGGGCCCAGAGTGGAAAAGGATGAATTCTGGGGCTGGGATTGACATTTTCCTTCTGCCTTGACCGCTGGAGGAGTGCTGTGTGCAGCAGTCCCAGACGACGATGATGACGCAGACTGGGGTGGAGGGAAGAAGTGGGGGAGGAGAGGTCATGCCTCAGCATTGTCCCCGGAATGGAGCCTGACCTTGCCTGAACTCCAGCAGCTTGGTCTTCCCTGCCCAGGGCCAGGGTGATAAGACGAGTTTGTACTGCAGCTCTGAGGAGGGAGGCAAGACAGCAGTGAGGGAGAAAAGGGAAGGAGGAATGGAGAGAAGAAAGGAAAAAGAATGGGGAAGGAAGAAGAGAGGAGAGGAAGGCTGAATGGGACCCACTCAGACTCATCAGCGAGACAGGTGAGGTACTTTCACTTTACAGATGCAAAAACAGAGGCTTAGGATGTGGGATATTTTGCTGATGACCTCACGATCAGAAAGTGGCAGAGCCAGGATTAGAACTCATGGCTTTAGTACTTGCCCTTCAAAATCCCAAACTGGAAACCACTCAGGAAACAGTTCCCAAAATGTGGCCCTAAGATATGCTGCCCGCACATCACCGAGAGAGAGGCCTGGTGAAAATATAGATTCCTGGGTCAGAATCAAAGGGCCATTGCCTGCGAATACGCATTTTGACCATTGCCCTGGTGGTGGTTCTTGAGCTGACACTGGAAATCTCTGTGGCCCCTTTATGGCCTTTCTCTCCTACCTCCTCACATTCTAGCTGCATCCCTGAAGCCCAGCTATTCAGGCTGACTCACACTAACCCTCCAGGACAGGCCTGGGACTTTCCCACTGAAAGCTTCACTTATCAGTCTCCCAGTTGCATGTAGACCCACCCTTCCAGCTGGCACCACTCTTCCGGAAGGCTTCTTGGTGGTTGGGATCCCCCCTCCTTCAGTGTCTGGGGAGTAACAGCCTCCTCCTCCATCTGGAATTGTTTACAACATTCTATTTCACTTTCCAAGTGAGTCTCTTTTGTTTCTCAACCTTTCCCTCTATTAAACAGGAAACTCCCAGCTGGAGCCTTGCTGGTTTAAACAATAAGCCTCTGAAATCCATGACTTCACCTGACCCTCCTGCCAACCACAAGTGGCAGGGCTGGGAGAGATTTACAATGAGGAAAATGAACCTCAGAGAGGTTGTGGCCTGCCCAAGGCCAAGTGAGATTCAGTGCCAGGGTTAGAACCCATATTTAGTTCCAATGTGCAGTTCTTTCTGCTTCTGTTTCACCTCTGATCACTCAAACAGTCCTGTGAGGCAGGTAGAACAGGGATTATGATCCCATTGCCCAGATAAGGAAAGTGAGGCCCAGAGAAGAGCAAAACACTCAACACCATCTTCACCATTTCCACTTCTAGGTGCATTTGGGTCTGAGTCCAAGTGCTGACCTTTCCTCATGTCTCCTCTCAGCAGGATGGGGCAGAGCTCGGCCCAGGACTCCTAGGCCAGAGCCCTCTTCATGGGCCCCTGGATTGGTCCTGGTGCCATTCTGGACCCAGCTGCCTCCTCTGCATGTGGAGTCTCCCCTTGCCTGCCTCTCAGCTGGCTGGAGACTCAAGAGAGAGGGAATTAAGAAGTACCTGGACACATCTTAGTCACCATCACTCTGGACTTTGTCCCTCTTATTATTAATGCCCAGCTAAGGAAGGAGCAACCTGGATGGCCCCTTCAAGACTGGAGGAGGGCAGCTGTGAGCCTGGCACAGGCCCAGGCCAACCCAGCTCAAGTTAAGTTGGGAAGGGTGTGGAGCAGATTGGTGTTCCTGAGAGGGATTTGCCTAACCCTACCCTGCAGGTGTGGACTGGGGAGACCCAAAGGAGCCATGGCCCAACTCTGAACTTTGGGATGGAGTTCTGAGCCGCCCAGTTGGTGCCGAAGGCGGCCAGCAAGAGACTTCGGACTGCCTGCGATGGAAAAAAAAAGTCATAATAATATGTGTCAAACCCTAACTACGTCAGGCTTTGCGCCTCCACACTATCTCCAGATAGTGCTCAGAGCTGTGTAGTACACGGGTTCTATCCAGCCCAGCCCCTCTTGCCCTTTCTCTGCCTCAGATTAAGTACCTTCATCTCGAACTCCGAGGGGTCCCCTCCAGCCTCACCCTCTCCCCACATCACCCCCAGAACCACTCCATCCTTGGGCAAATACACCCCCACCTCTTCTGGGAAGCCCTTCGTCACAGACAGGGCGGATCCTGCTTTAGACCGTGGTCCGGAACGCCTTCCTTACCCTCCTTCTTCTATATCCAAGGCACCAGTTTCTACAACCCTATAACGTCCCAGTTGTCCTCAGGGGCACTTCCCCTCCGACTCTGCCCTTTTACAGGGTTCTGAAGCATAGTGCAGTTAGTAGAGAAACAAGAAGAGGGTGTAGAATCCACTACCGTGCCCCTCCTTCTCTTGGCAGGCGATCCGGGAAAGCCCAGGTCCCAACCGACTAGCCAAGCCCACGTAGGGGCCCCGCCCTTCCTACGCTAAGAGCTCGACGCGGTACGCCTGCGCGGAGGAAGTCCACGCCCATGGCGCATGCGCGGCGCTCACTCTGGCTGTATATTAGGGCGACGCCGCTCGCGGCCTGAGGGTTCCCGCGGACAAGGGCAACGGTTTGGTTCTGCTTGGCCTGGGTGCCTGCCGACTCCGCCACAGCCGTCGCCGCCGCTGCAGTCCCCCGCGCAGGTGAGGGCCCGCGCTTTGGGTACGGCGCCGGGCAAGGAAGTCCCCGCGTGTCTTGCCAGCCCGCGCCCGGCTCTCCCGGACGTTGGGACCCCATCCCCCACAGCACCCATCACCTGCCTGCTCGGGGGTCAGCGTTCATCTCCCAGATTCTTAGCCCATTGGGCTGCCTCAGTGTACCCTATTCAGCTCCCTCCTTACATTTCCTATTTAACTGGCCGCTTCTTTAGAATTCCTTTCTCATACTCTTTCCGTTATTCTCGAGCCCTCAACCCCCGGATAACCTCTGACCTCTCCCCGCCCAGGACTAGATCTAACTCCAGACCCAACACCCTCGATTTTATAGTTCCTGCCTCTCCCCAGTTAGCCCCAACCGTACTTCCCCTCGTTTTCCTGCCCTTCTTTATGTCCCCTCCTTTCTCAGTTTAGTCGTGTTAGAGCTGTGGGGGATGACCTCAGGGAAATCCTTGCCTCTGGGACCCAGAGCCCAGCTGGGTGCCTTCCTGGGGTCTGGGGATGTGAGGACCAGGAGAAGTTTAGGATCCCTAGGAGTCCTCTGCCTGGATGAATGACAGTGACTTCTTCCCTAGCCTCACTTCTCCACCTGGGTGTGTGCCAACGTGTTTTATCTGCACTGTGCATCTTCCTCAAGGAGCCTCTGACCTCCCAAACCTGTTCCTGACTTGTCCCTTGTTGTCTCAGCCCCTTGGTGGTTAGTCATCGGTATTTACTTCACTTGGTAAAGTTGCTTTGCAGGTGCTTTTGTGTAGAGCTGGGGAATGAAAGGAGAAGTTGGTGACCTGGGTAGAGTATGGTCACCACTAATTAGTTGAGTCCCACATGAATGCTGTCCTTAGACATTATTATGTGAGACTTGTTATATCCCAGGGTACCCTTGCTATAAACTGTGGGCAACACCTGAACCCAATGACCTTGCAGTAGTATTTGCCTGATTAAGTGTTGATGTCACTCATTGTCTTTCTATAGGATCAGTGCACCCTCTCGGACATGGAGACTGTTGTTCGCCGCTGCCCATTCTTATCCAGAGTGCCTCAGGCCTTTCTGCAGAAGGCAGGCAAATCTCTGTTGTTCTATGCCCAAAACTGCCCTAAGATGATGGAAGTTGGGGCCAAGCCAGCCCCTCGGGCCCTGTCCACTTCAACAGTACACTGCCAGCAGGTCAAAGAAACCCCTCCGGCTAATGAGAGTAAGTGTCATTGGCAGTAAAGTAGGAGGTGGCAGTGTTAGCATTCATCACTAGACTAGATGCACTTCTAGTCCACAGCGGTGATGGGGGCACAGTAACAGAGGGAGTTACTCTGTGTCAGGCTTGATTCTTTGCATGGACTATCTCACAGTTGGCATCCTAACCCTGCAAGTATGCACTTTTAGTTTACCCATCTGGAAAGGTGAGACGGTGGCCAGTGTGCACCTTACAGGTTTATGGGTTGTATTCGATGTCTGTTGGAGTTTTAGTGTTCATCAGTACCTCATTCACATAAATATAAAGTTGGGATGTTCCAGTTCAACCTTTCCTTCATTAAATATTTGGCTCTTTGGCTTTTTTTTTTTTTAAATAGGCTTTATTTTTTAGAGCAGTTTTAGGTTTGCAGCAAAATTGAGTGGAAGCTTTTGGCTTTTAAAGTTGTAACTTTTTTCTTTTCTAAATTATTTTTTTTATTGTGGTAAAATGCACCTAACATAAAACTTAACATTTCTTACCAACTGTATGTACAGTTCAGTGGTGTTAAGTACATTCATATGTTTTTAAATTTTTTTTAAGCTTATTTATTTTGAGAGAGACAGAAACAGCGAGAGCAGGGGAAGGGCAGAGAGAGAGAGAGACAGAGAGAATCCCAAGCAGACTCCACACTGTCAATGCAGAGCCCAACCACCATCCAATTTCCAGAGCTCTTCAGCATCCCAAACTGAAACTCTGTGCTCATTTAACACTAACTCCCCCCCCGCCCCCTGCAAATACCATTCCCCTTTCTGTTTCTGAATTTGACTGCTCTAGAAGCCTCACATAAATGGAATCATAGAATTCATTAGTGATTTTTTTAATACATGTATCTTTATTTTATGTATGAATCTTTAAATTTTTTTAATGTTTATTTATTTTTGAGAGAGGCAGACATGAAGCAGACTCCAGGCTCTGAGCTGTCAGCACAGAGCCTGACATGAGGCTCAAATTCACGAACCGTGAGATCATGACCTGAGCCGAAGTCGGACGCTTAACTGACTGAGCCACCCAGACGCCCCTAAATTTTGTTTTTAATAAAGAGATCAGAGTTGGATGTAGTTTTTCTCTGGCTCTACCAGGAGAGGATGTGGCTTTTCAGGTTTCACTTAATCCTAGAGAATAATTTACCTTGTAAACTCTGTTAGGTGTGTTCTCTGGATGTGTTTCTTGTAAGAAAGGAGTGTTTTGTTTTGTTTTTTTTGTAAGCAGAAAGGATATAATCCTGTGTAGGATTTCTTTTCCTCTTTACTCTTTTAGGAGTTAGTTATGTGTTTTTCCTGAATAGTCAAGATCCTCTTTTACTATTCTGTCCCTAGTATAGAGGAAGTTGAGTAAAACGTGGCTTGTTCACTTGATAGATGTTGCAGCCATTGCAAATGATATTCACAGGCTATTTTGATCTTTATAATGAAAAGGGCAAAATAAGCACATGCAGAATAAGTAAAACTGTTTTTTAAACTTGCACATATGTAAAAAAAATATGTTTTTAAAAAAAACATAATTTACTAAGATGCCTGCAATGGTTATGTTTTGAATGATAGAATGCTTTTTTTCTAGATTTCCCACAGTGAATGTGTATTACTTTTATAATGAATGACATGGACTTCAAAGCAATTTTTTGATTTTATAGAAAATTTTAATGAAAACTGCATTGAGACATCTTACCAAGTTGTAGAAGTTAGCCTCTGACTCACAGTATTCCAGGAAGATGCAGAATAAGACTTTACTAGAAGGAAGGTGAATGAATTTGCTTCAGGGGAAAGGAGAGTCATTGTGAGTAGAAGCACAATTACCAGCCAACTGTGTTAAGTCAGTGAACTAGTTTGATGCATTTAGATGAGCTAGTAGATGCTGTGTATGTGATATCCGTGTGGTTTTTTCTTGGCATATACTAATACTTTGAATTCTGTTAGACAAAAATGTAAAGAGTTCACTTTTAGCCTAATTTGTTAAGAAGAAAATCAGTAGTTTGTATGTTAAGCAACAGCAAGCCTTTTTGTCAAGAACGTGTTTTGAAAATATAAGCAGAGAGGAGCACCTGGGTGGCTCAGTCAGTTGAGTGTCTGACTTCAGCTCAGGTCATGATCTCGGGTTTGTGAGTTCAGGCCCCACGTCAGGCTCTGGACTGACAGCATGGAGCCTGGAGCCTGCTTCAGATTCTCTGTCTCCCTCTCTCTGCACCTCTCCTGCTTGTTCGTGCTCTCTCCTCAAAAATAAACATTAAAAAAATTAAAATATATATATAAGCAGAGAAAAAAATTCTATGAACATTTCTCCTTACCTTCAAGAGTGTGTCCCCTCCTGAAATATGTTGTGTGTCGTTAGGGTAGATTTACTGAAATCCATCTCAAGAACTGTTGGCTGTCTGAAACTAGAAAATACTACTTTTGGTGGATTTATAAGGGAAAAATACTGTGGGTTTGAAAGGTGACTGGATCATGCCAATTAACTCCTCACAGGCACATTGATTCCAGTGAGGCAGATGAGAAAACGGTTCAATTAGCAGAATCTAATAAAAGTCAACTTGTGCCTAAAATGTGGGGGTAGAGTAAGTATAAAACTTCTCTGTGAGGCAATAAGAGAAAGAAACAAGGGGCTTTCTTGCGTGTTGTGCAACCAGATCTGATGCTTCAGTTTTTCCATTTCACCCCCCAGAGGACAAAACTGCCAAAGCCGAGGGTCAGCAGGCTCCTGATGGATCCCAGCAGACTCCAGATGGCACACAGATTCCGTCTGGACATCCCTCCCTTGCCACAAGCCAGGGCACTGCGAGCAGATGCCCTTTCCTGGCAGCCCAGATGAGCCAGAAGGGCAGCAGCGTCTTCTGCAAAGCCAGTCTAGAGCTTCAGGAGGATGTGCAGGAAATGCATGCCGTGAGGAAAGGTAAACAGATGACTGGAACCATTAGGAGGAGTACAGAGGTCCTTTTGGTTCTTTTGATCCTCCAGATTTATGTATGAGCTCTTATTAGGGTAGTATTTATATAGAAACTTCCTCTTTTAGGGCCAAGGAAGAAGGTCATCAAGATAGGAGTCCGAGGACCATATGACAAAATGTGGGACTTTCTTCCTGGTGTGTGTGTAGGATATGACCACCTTTTATAGTAATTGCTTCATTTCTGAAAATACCCTGATGGTGTAAGCTGTTACAAAACTGCCCTTTCTTTCTTTTCTGCTATCTGGTGGGATAAAAGATAAAAAAATAATACTGCAATAATTGATGGTCTTAGGACTCCCAAGCTGTGTGTCTTACTGATGGTGATTAAGAGGCAACCTTAATTCCAGTTGTGGCTATGTCCACAGAGCACCCAGGGTCCCCAGAAAACCTCACCAGCAGAAATGATGCATATGGCTGGAATTGTTTTCCATGAAGAAAATTGAGATTAGGGTTGGGTGGAGTGGGAAGGTGGGGAAGGCATGCCAACCGGCTAGAAAGCTTTGGACTTTAATGTTTATTAAAGCTGTCTGGTAGCTCTGAAAACAAAAGAAAACAACA